TATATATATATATAATGATTTTTGAAATCCCTAAATAAAGTTTTACCATTTTTGAGCGCAAAACAGCTGCTGATGGAGACAACGAGTACTACGAACGACATCAGAATCTTCATGTTGAATCACTGAAGCGAATACAGCTGGTTACAAATTTAAACTAAACTCAAGTCAGTCGGAGTAGCTATTTAAATCTATTTTAGAAGCTCTCCTTATCGCTGAAATGTTTTGTATTGGTTAACGATTGTATGACAAATGGGTTCGATTTGGTAAACAACTTAATAGGAAGCTATAGCACGTTGCTCGAGCTGAGATTATTAAATACTCAGCACGATTTTACTTTTTCCGAAGTCTTCAGATTTAGTGAGGTGCAAATTATGGAGACTCGACTGTACAATAACACAACAGTTGTTGTAGCTATAGAGCTGAGACTACCGAGTTCACATGAAAATTCTATGTCTACGTTTACCTATGCAAATACATATACATTTATTCACATATCTTAGTTATCGAACGCAAGATGAGGTTTAATGTTCCTGCAATGCTTTTCACAATCTTGTTGCGTAGTAAACCGATTGTTAACTCCAAGACAACCCTTATCGATCAATTGAATGCATTTCGCTTTCAGCAAATCGTAGGCCCATCTTATTCGCTTTATTCCGCAGTCACGGCCAATATGTCTATTTATGACAAGCTTGCGTCCGCATAAACCTGTGTGATACATAATGTAGCATTAACTAAACTGAGTTCGATCGAAATGCTTGAATTCTGTAGTTTTATACCATGCGGAGCAACAACGCATAAAGGTAACGCAGTGAGCAGCACAAGTGCAAAAACCAACTTCATTCTGGTAACTATGAACTGAAAACATTCATATTCACATATTATGAATAATAAAGTCTGAATGATCTACTTAATATCCGTTAAACATTCGTGTCTAATGGGAAACAGCAAAGAAAATTGATATCCATTCGATTTAATATTGCATTCAACTCAAGCGAAAATTTTTGATATATCAGAGACTTAGTTGGATTATATTAAGAGTCTTAATCAGCATTAGCCTTTAAAAATATCGTTTCTTACACATGTAAAATAGCGTATAAGCAAACAGAATAATTTTCGTTTTTATTATCATATCTCTTAGAGTATTCCATATGAGCAGTATCGAGAATTCGATCTATAAAATAATTCAAAATAATAGTTTCGACATCTGCATTAGAAATATCATGGAATGTATCGGGCGGTCAGCGGGATTGAAAAAGAAATAATAATACGTTTTCATAGAGCTCTTTATATAATAAATATCATAGAAATAATCGGGTATACAGTGAGATTGATAGAAAAAGAAGTTATACTAAAATAAATACGATTTCATAGAGTTCTTTGTCTCTAGCCTCAATTCGCAGCTAGAACTATGCCATTCTGTATGATATAGTACATCAGTCAAACGGCGAGCTTTGCTCTACTGGCAAATCGAACAATTTACTTAAACTCTATAGATTTTTAAGTAATTACAACTATGGCAAATATAATGCAATAATACAACTCCTATAGTCATGGCTAATTGTATCACTCATCAAGGAAAACAGATGAATGAAGAGGAATAATTGTATTTTTTTTAATTTTTTTATTATTATAAAACATTAATTCAAATTCAAAAATTATATTTTTCATTGGATTTTTGTTATTTATTCCAAGCACGTTTTCTCACAGAGATCTTTGGTGCTGAAACGATTGTCATTACCGTCGCAGCCGCCATAGATGAATCTCACACATTCTTTAGCTGCCGCATCATAGCTCCAGCTTGGAATGTGGGCCWTACAAAAACCTGCATCAGAATGTGGCAGACCGCAAACCTCTAAATGCAGGTTTAAAAAAAATATTTATATATATCTATATATATATTGAAATCCCTAGAGTTTTACCATTTTTGAGCGCAAAACAGCTACTAATGGAGACAGCGAGCACTACGAACGCTTCATGGTGAAACTTTGAACCGATTACAGCTGGTTACAAATTTAAACTAAACTAAGGCCAGCCGGAGTATCATTTTAAATACATTTTAGAAGCTGTGTTTATTACTGAAATGATTTGCATAGGTTAATAATTGCATGACAAATGAATTCGATTAGGAAAACAACTTAATAGAAAGCTGAGATTTTTAAAATGCTTAGCACTATTTTATCTTTTCTGAAGTCTGAATGTGAAGATGTTCTCAGCAATTGAAATGATATTAGCTAGCACTTGATGACCTTATTTGAACAATTGCATTTGGTTAACAGTTTGTTGGAACTGTCTTCCAACGATTCGGGAAAAATAACACGATATAGTTTATTTTATGTAATGTAATATATAAATTGATAAGAATAATGTAATTTTTAATACAATAGTAAATACAGTTGTCAAGATGAGTTCATCAACCAGACAACGATTTACAATTACACGAAACCTGTACACCCTGTAATTCAATTTTCCACAATCGAGTATATTCTAAATATGCTTTATATATGATAAGATTGTTTTACATCGATTAATAAAATGGGGATAGAAATATAAAATTTGTCCACTATTTTCGCACACACTGCCGTAAGCACTGCGATTTGGTCAGGAAATTGTTGCCGTTTCCTCCACAGCCCAAATAGGTGAACTTAATGCAGGTATTGATTGCGGCATTGTAGGACCAACGGCGCGCACTATTCAGGCAGGAAGTATAAACATCGACATTGAATGAATGGGCTAGTTCGCATACCGCTAGAAGCAACAAATTGGAAAATTAATTTCCAAAGGGTATTTCACATTTTGGCAACATACGATTTTTGGGTTTCGAGCAGTTTACCTGAAGAGCTGCACAAATCACAAGCAGTAATAAAAGCAACTTCATTTTTATTTTATTATTTGAATTTATGCCAGTCGTCTGGCTGATAAGTTAACTTTGTATATCCAGCGATAGATTTGGACTAAACTGACTCCAGCTCGAGCCTGCACCTAATGCTTATATATTTTTCTTGACTGAACTCAATGCAGTAGCACAGTTATATACTCTATCCATATCTGTGCTTCAGCAGACATGAAAGAAAACATAGTCACTTGGGAAAAATATTTAACATGCTATGGAATATGAAAAATCAGATCATTATAATTATAATTTACTGATAATGAGTTTTGGAGTTTTTATAAGTAATTAGAGTTTTTTTTTTTTCAATTTTTATGACAAAGCTATAATACCCTTTGGTAGAGTATTAGAAGAGTGCAAAGCAGCAGTTTGTTATCAAGTCTGGCAAAGAAAATCGAACACTTTATTCATAACAGCTGAAAACTGTTTAAAGGCAAACATTTTTATTTTTTATAGCCGATCGAGTGAGCTGAACGAAATCAAATTTGAGTGATTCAGCGTGGGGAATGACCGACTTTTAGCTATTATACATCTGCATGTTAAAGACCTCCAACACTGCATTCCTTTCTGTTCTTTTTCTTCTCTTTTAAAAACAATTCAGTAATTGTAGGAGCATATTAAATCGTACGGCAACGTCTACTTCTGTCCAAAACCAATATACCCTGAACAGCCATTTTCTATAGGCTATTGTGAATGAAGTCTAGAAGTTGTTGCTGCAATTGTGTATTTATTTGTTATTTACTTTTCTATGTGCACAACGATGATTTTAATGTCTTGGAATCCGTTCAGGAATTCCCCGAGCTGTTGACAAACAAATTCAGTTCCCAGAACTGAGCTATTGATATTGTGTTTTATTTACTAATCAGTTGTTTAGGCTTACGCTGTGGGAATTCGGAATTATACACATATAATATATATTTAACGATTTGAAACGATAATTTCTGAAAAAGATTTGTACTCAATCACATATTTGAATATCATAGTAATCAGAGATTTTACGACCCATTGGGAATATAGAGACTTGCCTCGAAGTGGAATATCCAAAAGCTATACAAATTGGTCCTGAAAACATTGATAAAACCTTAGCATCCCTTAAATTTGAAGAGTTTGCAGTCATCCTCTGCTGGATAGTATCTCCAGGTATCCTGGAGGAACTCGCAGCTTACCGTACGCTGATCATTCCCAAAACTTGGATAAATGCTTACGACAGCAATGAATAGGCAAGGAACTGCAGCGATTTTGTATATTGTCACGTGGAATAACTAAACTAATTAGTGTGAAATATAGGTTTGATAGGCGTAACTAAACAAGTTATGATGTGATTAACATTAACATGATGTATATAACATTGATTTCGAATATTAACTTTAAGTATTTGGACATGGCATAAAACTTGTGTCAATGCCATGAAATCCGATAATAATCATTTTTCAGCGCCTATCCGTTTCAGTATGTAGTCCACGTGGTAATTCTGTCTGTTACTTACAACCTAATCTATCTACTCGTTCTCATCAATATATATTACTACAGAATCTTATAGCTCGCCAATATTGAGATGTAATTTATTATTGATCTCCATTGATTATTAACAATTATGCCGATCATTTAGTCACAATGCAAATGGATAACTGTTAATTTACTCCATGGGTTGATCGAATAATTATATCGATTGGATTGGCTTGGATTCGTATTTTTAAATGCAATTAAAAACACGAATCCAAGCCAAGTAAATCTTAACTGCCTTCGATCTACTCAATTCTTGAATATGAGACTGCCGAGCTCAGATGAAAATTCTATGTCTACGTTTACCTATGCAAATACATATACATTTATTCAAATTTCTTAGTTATCGAACGCAAGATGAGGTTTAATGTTCCTGCAATGCTTTTCACAATCTTGTCGCGTAGTAAACCGATTGTTAGCTCCAAGACGATCCATATCGGTCAAATGAACGCGTTTCGCTTTCAGCCAATCGTAGAAATGCTTGACTTTAACCTCAATCCGCAGCTGGATCTATTCTGTATGACTAGCACATCAGTCAGACGGCAATTAACTTAAACTCTATAGGTTTTTAAGTAATTAAACAATATGCAACAATGGAAAATATAATGCAATAGTACAACTCCTATAGTCATGGCAAATTGTATTACTCATCAAGGAAAAACAGTTGAATGAAAAGGAATAATTGTATATTTTTAATTTTTTTATTTTATAAAAAATCAATTCAAATTCAGAAATTATATTCTTCATTAGATTTTTGTTTCTTATTCCAAACATTTTTCCTCACAGAGTTTTTTGGTGTTGAAACGATTGTCATTGCCGCGGCAGCCGCCATAGATGAATCTCACACATTCTTTAGCTGCCGCATCATAGCTCCAGCTTGGAATGTGGGCCTTACAAAAACCTGCATCAGAATGTGGCAGACCGCAAACCTCTAAATGCAGGTTTAAAAAAAATATTTATATATATCTATATATATATTGAAATCCCTAGAGTTTTACCATTTTTGAGCGCAAAACAGCTGCTAATGGAGACAGCGAGCACTACGAAAGACACCAGAAGCTTCATGGTGAAACTTTGAACCGATTACATCTGGTTACAAATTTAAACTAAACTAAGGCCAGCCGGAGTATCATTTTAAATACATTTTAGAAGCTGTGTTTATTACTGATATGATTTGCATAGGTTAATAATTGCATGACAAATGAATTCGATTGGGATAACAACTTAATAGAAAGCTGAGATTTTTTAAATGCTTAGCACGATTTTACTTTTTCTGAAGTCTGAATGTGAAGATATTCTCAGCAATTGAAATGATATTAGCTAGCACTTGATGAACTTATTTGAGTTTGATGGCAAACAATAAAACATCGTATATATATATATGTATATATGTATGTATATTACAACAGAATCTTATAGCTCGCTGAGATGTAATTTATTATTGATCTCCATTGATTATCAACAAAATACTTATGCCGATCATTTAGTCACAAAGCAAATGGATAACTGTTAATTTACTCCATAGGTTGATTGAATAATTATTAAAAATTGGCTTGGATTCGTCTTTTGAATTGTATTTAAATAAATCTTAACTGCCTTCGATCTACTCCTATTGGATTTCGCTCACTTCTGGAATATGTTTCGAAAGCATTGAAAAATCTGTTTCAACTTGATTCACTCTCAACCACACGTACATACACAAAACTACTGATAAGCTTCATGTAGCCAGTGACTATTATAAATCATTGCGTTCAGCTGCAAGTTGAGTTAGTAAATCAACAGAAGCTTTACGAAAATATACAAAATGAAACTTGTAGCAGTACTTTGCGTATTCATCGCTCTCTTCGGCGCTTCCATCGCTCTGAAGAATGGTAAGTCTAAATACCTAATTCTAAATATCTCATTTCTGCAAGCAACTTTCTCTTTGTGCTCTGTGCTCAGACATCTGCGGTCTACCGCCAGCCAGTGATGGCATCGGCTTGATGAGGTGCTTTGCTATACTTCCCAGCTGGACCTACTACGCTGCGGACAATGCATGCAAGGAATTTGACTACGGTGGCTGCGGCGGCAATTCAAATCGTTTCGAAACTCAGGAACAGTGCGAGGCAAAGTGCAAGGAGTAGATTTACTTAAACCAAAAACTGATACACTAAATAAAGCGTGGCAAAAAGTTTCTTAAGGTCAATTCGATACAGTTTGCTTCGTTTTACTGAATAATATGTAAACGCATTTTAAAATTAGATTCGTTTTGGTTCATATATTAACTAATACATACATACATAACGTAGTATAAATATTTCTGCTCCCAGTAAGTCGAGTTAGTTGCTCTAAAACCTGTACAAAATGAAACTCCTCCTTTGCGTACTCCTCGCTCTAGTTGGCCTATCCCTCGCTGCTCCGCAAAATGGTAAGTCTAAGCAACTTATCCTGAGAGATTACACTAACTTTAAATTCGTCCTCAGCCTGTCAGCCTTGCATTTTGTAAATTTGAATGAAGACATCGATGTCGATGTCCATTAATATTTTCAAAATCAAGCATCGATGTTGGATTAATACATCGGATTGATCATCAAATTATAAAAATAAAAATGAGCATTCATAGCAGTGTTTTGCTTAAGGCCTAACTTTAAAATTGTTAACATAGGAGATATATCATATGCTTTCATAGCAGTCTTATACATTTCACTAAAATTAAACAGAATTTCATATTATTCTAGAGGGAACAGAAGATGAAGGAGTAGGACTACGTTAATTAAATTTAATAACATGAATAAGTCAACTTGATTGATGAAACGCAGAGGTGTCATTCGCTTCTTAAAAAGGGTTAGATACCCGCGAGTGTTTCAATATTGAGTTCCTACTGATATTGTGATATACAAAGAATCCTCGTTGTACTTGGAAGACGCTATAACCATATAAGTTTCCTAATATAAGTTTATCTGGGGGTGAATTTGATTTTTACAGTTTTTAGGTCCTCGACCATACTCGGTTTTCTGCAGAGCATAACTAAGCTAGAAATGCATGCATAAACCAAGGCAAATGGATAACTGGATTCAGAAATCAGTAAAGTCAGTAAATGGGCGATGCAAAACAGGAATGCATTGACGACACTCATTATGAATCACGTTTACAATCTTCGTAGTATTTAAGCATCAGCGAAAATATGATATCTCATCAAGTTCATCTGAGGTAACCTGCAGTGTCCCAGAGTAACGAAACGATTTCAAACGCTGTGCACTGGCATTATCTTCAAGGAGGACGAGGACGATGAAAAAGCTAATTGAGTCGCTCTGGATCACATACACAACCTGAAGATTTTTTAGAGCGACACACTGAGCGATAAGAGCTAGAACCTCTAGAGATGTTTTGAGCCACTAATTAAATTTTCCGTCGTTCACAATGATTTATACTAATCCAATAGATACAATGATTTTAAACAGGAAATTGATTTATTCAGTGCATTAACTTTACGTAATTCTACTCCTTGCACGTGGACTCGCACAGTTCTTGAGATCCGAAACGATTTGAATTGCCGCCGCAGCCACCATAGACAAAGCTTTTGCATGCATTGTCCTCGGGGTAGTAGCTCCAGCTGGGTATGAAGGCGGCACACTTGATCAGGCCGTTGCCGTCAATTGCTGGCGGCAGTTCGCAAATGGCTGAGGAGGAATCAAAATTAGCTGAGTTCCTCGGAATCAGTTACTGACTGCAACTTACGATCCTTCAGAGCGAGGGATAGGCCAAAGAGAGCAAGGAATACGCAAAGTACTGACACGAATTTCATTTTCTATAGTTTTTAAGGCTTCGATGAAACAACTAATTTGGTTTGCTGCAGCTCACACTGATTTATACTAATCTGTGGGTATACGTGCTCAATGATGCTATCAGTTCGTTTGTGTGTGTGTGTGTGTGTGTGTGTGTGTGTGGGCATGTGTACAAATTAAGTTAAGGTTCATTAACAAGTGCCTGCAAAAAAGTGAATAAATAGCAGGAGAGGACCGAGGCAGCTAAGATTAACTACAAAAATAATATAT